CTACACTCAATCCCCTCGTTTAATTCAATACAAAGAATATGATTTAAAAGATAGTTTAAAAGGGACTTGATACAAAGCCGAGGTTTTTTAGGATAGGAGGGACTGAAAACGTCTTCGTATTGAAAGACGAGTGTCGAAACCACCCTCACTACAGTGGGCATCCCAACACTCGAAGAAGAAGGGGTCTACACCCAATCTTCTCTCTTTAATCCAATACCAAGAATTTGTTTGAAAATGTTTTCGGAGATACACTCGATACGGGACCGAAGTTTTAGGAGGAAAAAGCGTTGAAAGGGAAATGGTCTCAGATCCAACGTTTACAAGGAAATAAAAAATTTTAAAACAACAATATACTTTACAAAGTTCTAACCAATCAAAAAGAGAAATGACATTCTAAGTATATATAAGAAAACTCTTAAAATAAATAAGATAAGGTTCTTAAAACTTTAAAGAAAATATAAATAGAAAATTAGATATGTAAAGTAATCTAAAAATTATATTAGAAAACCTAAAGTAATATACATATAGTATTTACAAAATAAATATTAAAATATTTACAAATAGATATTAGAATATTTACAATATATTAGAAAAAAAAAATTTATATATCTATAACTTAAATCTACTAAAATAAAGTTATAAAACTCTAAACATTTCATTTGAGATTCAATAAAAATAATAGAAACAGAAAAACAAAAGACATTAGATTTTGATGACCAAACAGAAAGATACAAACACGTATGCATTGGGGATATACGAACACAACCGTGGCACTTGCAAGCAACACACTCAGATTCCAAAACCACGAAATCAAAACGAAAACGGCGAGCAAGAAAACGTAATGAACAAAGGTCGAACTACCTCGAATTCGAAACTCCTTCTGCTTGGTTTCGACTTCTCACTCTTCTCCTTCACTTCCGTTTCTGTTCTTCTTTTGTCGGTGCGGCGGTGGATGGTTGGTTATCGGAACGATGGCAGCTTGATTTCTGATGGTCTACAATCTCGCTCACCACGTGTTCGATGAAAGTACTGCTGTGGTTTGGATGCTTGTTGCAAAGTTTACAGTGAGTTTATGAGGAAGATGGATGTTGAATTGGGTTTGAAGTTGAGGTGGTAGTATGAGCTGTTCGAAAACGGTGTTCAAAGGTGAGGGAAATGAAACGAAGGTTAAGGTTGCTGCAAGAATGGGTGGATGATGAGGATGAAATTGGTGAAGAGTTTGGGGTGGCTGCTGCAATGGTTAGGGTTTCTCTCCTTTTTCTCTACCAGCCTCCTTTCTGAATGAATGGTAACAAAAATATATATGATGGGAGATTAGGGTTTTTTTTTATGTTTGAATCAAGATAGTGTATCATTTCTGCTAGCACTTTTTGATGCCCAGACCATGTCTTTCCATTTCAGTGAATCTGGCTCTGCTGTCCTATTTTCTTGTCTCTGAATTTCGTCTGTTTGTGCTGACTGTATCTTCTGTTATTTACTCATGATTTTCACTGTGGTAACACAACAATTTTACTGATACAAACTTGCTGATGTGGTATTTCTTCATTCTTAACTGAAAACAAACTCTTGGTCTGCTGAGAATGCTCTTCCTCTTTGTTATTATGGCTAGGGGCTGATTGGAGACGAAGTTGTTGTTGCAGATAGGCTGAAAAATTAGGATCTATTGACACAGCAGTCACTTCAGGCTTATCGTGTCCGTAATCCATCAACTGAATAGACAATCGGGGCGGTGTAGACGAACACTCAATACGATATATGTTCTCATCATGAAGAAGAACACGTGCATTTTCATGATAAACTATATCCACAAAGCTTCCAGGTTTTCTTGATTGCTCATATGCATATAGTTGAAGAAGTTTGCTATCCATCTCATCAGTAGCAATGGTAACAGCTTGAAGCTGTTTAACAAGTTTATATATCAGCTTGTCTAACGTGAACAAGACATACGACTGAGTTCCAATAATAGCACGACAGTCATCTTCAAATTTTGAATTATCAGAAGAGCCATCCAGCAAACTATATAATGCGTCCATAAATCTTGCATAAGGATCCGTAGAACTAGCATCTTTTGATTTTCGATTCATTTCAGCACTAGTTGAATTTTCTTTTGCAGATAAGATCCTTTCATAAAGAATTTGATGAAGCCTAAAAAGCGCAAAGAAATCATCATTTCCGTAAAACACCCTTGAATCCTTCACATCTTCAACGAATGAAACGGCTGATACATGCTTTGTGAGAGGTTTCACAGTCGAAAAGAATCTCTCTGATAATGGTATAGATGAGCCATCTCCACCATTTTGTGCATCACACATCCCCTCAGCTTCACCTTCACTCTTAGCTTTACCATCAACATCATCATGTTCCATATCTTCCTCTCCTCGTGATCACCCCGGAAACATTCATCACCAGGAGACTCACTTCCCGACACATCTTCGCCAGCTTCAGAAACATTTTCACTATCCTCATCGTCAGCGTCTGCATCATTATCACCTCCAGCCTCTGCATCATATTTCCTACTATCATCATTGTTCTTTGACTTTGCAATTGACTGCAGGTTTGAATCATAGGCAACAAAGTTATCCTCCTCAGAGTCAGCATTTGGGGATAATTCACCCTCTTCTTTTTCAATTTTGCAAGGCATGGAAGACTCTTCATAGCTTTTAACTTTAGTATTCTCAACTAACATGTCGTTGGACACTGGTACTGGAGATCGAGCGATAGCATCACATCCCTCTAACAAAGAAGTCGGAGACTTGGCTTTGGCTCCAGAGACATCAGCATCAGTACGTCGGGATGGAGTAAGTATTCGGCCTGGAGACATATCTATGTTGGTTCTGTTCACACTGCTTTCGCCTCTAATTGCAACAGATGCAGTGTTTCTCGCTCCTGGTTCATCAGAGGAAAACTGTTTGCCGAATCCAGGGGCTTTATTATCATTGCAGTCAACACTTTTCTGCCCTTTATCCATTAAAAGATCAACTCTACTAACGAGTTCGCAACCAACAGAGCCATTTTCTTTATCATTAGCCGCTAAACTAGTTCGGTGAACATTTTTCACTTCAGTTACTCTACCATCACCTTCGTTCTTATCAGGTTTTGGTATCCTTGAAATTGATTCTCTGTGAGGGCTTCCATCACCTCCTACATTTGGTGCAACAGAACTTTGGGCATCATGACCAACTTTCCTGTCCTCCACGCTTTCGGTCCCATGTGATTGGGAAGTAACAACACCAAGCATCGGTTCCAAGAAGGAACTCCAGAACCTCATAATTTTGTTGAATAACTTTTTACTTGAGAATACCTCCTCACATGAATAACGAACAAGTTTATACAAGTCCTCATGAATTTCGGCATCAGAAAAGTCGAATTCCAAATGTGGAAGGAGAGAATGTTTAGCCCCAGCAGCAATAGACTGAACAATGGCATCTTCTTTCTGCTGCTTCTCTTTGATTTCTTTAATCTCTCCCAATAAGGCTTTAGTGCTCAAGCTTTTTGCATCCTGCTGCTTAAAGTAAAAGCTTCGGTGATCAAGTGATTTGTGATAATTTTTCGAATATATTTCAGCCCAAACTTTATTAAAATCTGCGCGGCATCTTGCCCACTCCTCCTGTTTCTGCTTCAAGCGGGTTAATATCACTGGCAAAGCAAGAGATGCATTCTTTTTCAATACATCCATCACATCAAGCCCATGGTCGCCATATAATCGTTCAATGCACCTAAGATTTAGGGTTGTCAAGTGTTCCTCTATACGAATTGGGATGTCTCCTGGGAAAGCATGGTTTGGATAGGAGTTAGCATATCTTCCATTGCAGAGAGACAGGCCAATTTCAATAAGGAACCTGGCTTGCTTTCCTTAAATGTCTGGGTAAATGCCTAAAGAAGACGAGACGTCCAGTCGCTTGCTCCGCGTGAAAGAAATTTTGGAATAAAACAAAGGAGTTGAACTAGATGCTTTTCCCAGACAGCCTTACCAGACTGTGCAGCTCTGCCAAACTTCCCAAGAAGTGCATTTTCAAGAAATTCTAGAAATTTCTCCAACAAAAAAGGAGGAAGGCAGATCCATTCATTTAATTCAAAAAATAATTTTGCAATGACCAAGTTCAAGTCAAGCAACCTATCATAATCCTTTTGTGGAAGACCATGCCCTGGATCAAGAGGAAAAATAGGAAATAATTTCCTCAAGAATGTAGAAGAAACTGATACATCCCATATAGCCACATTGGCTCCACCTTGAGAACTTGTGCATTCCGATTTCTTATCAATCCCATAAACAAATGACCTTACTATAAGATCTATGCTATGAAGAATGGATGACATACAACCAAAAGACCTCCCTTCAAGATTCTCCTTAGCATTAAACAAAGTAGTAAATTCTTGAAAACTATTTATTAATATTGCCACGAGATCCTTTAGTTTCACTATGATATGAGCAAAACCAGTAGAGCTCATAGAGTTATCAGCTTCAAAAGCGTGCAATACCCTTTGTCCAATATCATCCTTATTTTGCAAATCAGTTTCTTCTATATTCCATGGCAAAAGTGAAAGGCAGCGAACCAACCCGGCAAAAGTATCCTTTAGTTTTTCTTTGTCCTGTAAATGGTACTGGTTGGTGTAGTACATTGGCACAGGTTGTGCGTTTGATCTTGGGCAGTATCAGTTTTCATGGCTAGGCACAGGGCAGCTGCTGCGTAATGTTGCCTGGACGTAAACATTATGACTTGTTGCAACGACCTTCATATTTCCCTTTTCACAATGACTTTGTTATTTTCTCAATTTTCCATCTTAAAGTAACATGTTCATTGTGGCTTTGATGTGTTGTTTGTGGATTTTGCAGGTATAGAATCAATGTGTCATTTGCTGTTGGAACTTCAAATTCACCTTGTCTTGTTGTTGTGGGTGTTTTGAATTCAGGATTCCTTTTAATCTATGTTGCAAAGTGAATCAAGTTCCTTGGTTTATCAACCTCCTCATTTGATTCTGGTTTACTGCAGGTGAGTTGGCTAATCATGATAGTTGTGGCAAAGGTTGTAGCTTGCAGGTTTGCGAATCGTGTCGGTACTTTTTCTCAGGTCTGGTTTTGGATTCTTGTGAGATGCGTGTTCTATTAATGGTTTTGTGATTGGTTGAGATTGTGCACTTAAGAACCGTTGGATGAAAACATTAACGGACTCGGTCTGACTTGTACTGGTTAACCCTGCAAAGAAGTATTGCCTCAAGAATGGTAAAGCCCAGAATGTCCTTAATGAGTATAGGCTAATAATATGTTTATTTGCATGGAGTCCATAATTATCGACCATCTGCCTCCAGCCTTCTTCGAAATCTTCCACCATTTCCAAGTTGTAGAGCCGATGAAACTCAGCTTTCCACTCATCATATTGTGATCCAAGAAGCAAAGAAAACCAGTCAGAGAATTTGGAGAGAATATGCCATATAGAAAAGGCGTGTTTAGTTTCCGGCATTTCAACAGCAATAGCTTCTTTCAGCCACATGTTATGATCAGTCAGTATTGTTTGTGGAGCCTTTCCTTTCATGAAGCCCAAGAAAGCCTTTAAAGCCCATGAAAAAGACGGCATATTTTCGTCCCTTAGAAGTGCACAACTAAAGCAACATATCATTCCATTATTGTCGACTCCAAGCCAAATTCCCAACAGCATGTCATAAGCCTCCACTCGGTAGGTTGTATCAAAAACCACAGCATCTCCAAATACTTCATATGATTGAATTGGCGAGCCGTAGGACCATGCAATGTATTCAAGCCTGTTATTATTATCTATCTTGAAATCATACTTGAAGTTGTGATTTTCATCTTTTAATCTCTTACACATTGCGATCAGATCAATAGCATCATTATCTTTATCCACATTTCTGAACGACTGCAACAAGTTTCTCACATCTATCTCTGTAAAAGGAAGACAGCCAAGTTTGACACCCTTCTCTAGCTCCATCAATCTTAACATTTGTCTTACCGACATTCCAGCTTTGGCAAACATGCATATGCGGCTCTTATCATCAGGAGATATCGGACAATACGATGGAAGAAGACGCACCTCATTGGATTTCAACAACTCATGATTGTGGATGTTTCTAAAACCAGTAACACGCCATTCAGGGACATCAAAATCCGCCCTTTTCACAATACGCAAATACGCTTGGCAACCACAGCGAGATGATTTACGGTTCCTTTGCACCTTCCCCACATCTTCCGAATGTTTATTTTGGGGAAACCCACCACGATGACAAGTAAAATCCCTCCTTGTTACTCCTCGGCCAACCCCATCTTTTCCTCGGGTCCGGTGTCGTCTAATAGAAAAACCAAATTGCTTAGCAAAACTGCAATAAAACTCATAAGCAGCTTCTTGAGAGACAAATCTTTGTCCAATAAAAGGAACAAGGTTAACAGAAGTTTGTCTTGACAAAATCGTTTCCTCCGGTGTTTCCTCAACAGTGCCAATATCATCCTGAGACAAATCAGTGCCGTTTTCAGATGATTCTAACACAAGACTGGCTCCGTCCGACATTCTGTCGCCAATATTAACAGCAAAGTTCGGTTACAAATGTTCAAACCTTGTCACATATGGGAGATAGTATGATGCAGTTGAAGTGAGTCTAGATCTGCTGCGACGGAAATCACTTTTACAGCGGTGGTTATGGCGGTCGGAAAGAGTTGGAATCGTTTTCCAGGAAGTTGAGTAGCTCACTGCTGCGTGCGACTCCAGCTTGCTTGATGGATCTGCTACCATTTGTTCCATTTAACAGGTTTTGCAAAATGTTCATGTGAAATTGTTATGCAGCAGGTCTTATGGTTTCCATTTGGTGCAGATTAAACAGGCTTGTAACATGACAAGTTCCTTTATTGCATCTCACCAATCCCTCTTTCATCTTGTGCAGGTCCGGTTGCGACTCAACTCAGGCTCATCCAAACTGCTTATCAGTTTCGCAGCTCATTTCCTTTGGAGGAAGCTGGACCACTAAAGCTGGGAGTTTCAGCAGCCCGTTACGTTCTAAAAACCCTTCATGAGGCTGTTATGAAAATAAAACTCCAGCTATTTTCAGTGTTTATTTTTTTGCACTAATACATAGCTGGTTTGAATTATGGTTTATTTTTCGTGAATTTGTAGCAGCTGATGGATTTGTGAGTGTCTCACAGAGCTTGTGTGAATCTTGTCTATAATGCTTGGATAGGTGGGCCACATGAAGGTTATTTGAAGTCACGGTTTGTACATTGGCGGCGGCTTGTAGCTTGTAAAATTTCGATGATGGCATGCTGTTATCCTTCTTCATTCTTCACAACTTGGTGTACTGGTTTGGTGCTGTGTGATTTGCTTTTCTGCTGTTTTTGTGCAGGTATCAATGGAATGAGGCGGGACCATCCTTGCTTTTTAATGGCTCAGGACGCGTGAGGTTTTTGCTTTGGTGCGGATATGTCGGTCGCTGCACTATGTTGTTTCGCCGGTTTTGGACACCTTCGAAAGAAGTATCCTTGCTCCAACATATTTGTTATCCCAGCCAAATGTGTTGTCAAACTCTGTAACTCCTAGGATTAGACCATTAACTTGAATGTGTTTTAGATACATTGGATTCTTAGTGGCCTTGTGGAGAAAACCATTGTAATGTAATTTTGTAAAACCTCAACCTTGATTTTTGAATTGAACCTCTAACAACCAAATTTTATAAATTATTAATTATTCATGAATGGATTTCTTGCACTTGAGTTTAAAACCACCACATAATTGAACTCCAATAAACCAGTTTGATAATAATGGAAGCTTTATCAATCACATGAGTCATGTCTCACAATTAGGAGTCATGTTCACGAACCAAACCAAATCCATCTTGAATTTAATACGAAACCAAATGAGGCCATCTTGAAATGTTATCTCTTGGATCACAAATGAGACACAAATTCTTTTATCATTAACCAAATGTTCAATTAGCCATATATTTTGAAATAAAAGGATAGGGATTTGGTGTGAACTGTTGTCCCCATTTGAATTAATCATCTCCAGCTCTCCACCACGAAATAAAATTCATCTAATTGGGATTAGATCAAACCTGACTAACTTTCACCCTTATTGAACCCGCACAAACATACAGACGAAACTCCAATAAACCTCAATTCAACTTCAATCCCAAAACATCCCAATAACGTCTTTAAATTTTGGAATAGAGTAAATGGGTAAATATACAGAATGGAGGTTACACTAAAGTAGGACAAATTTGGGGTATGACAGATGCCCCTATCTAATTGGCTTAGACCGAGTAAGATGAATTACTGCAGCGTTCACTTTGCAAGGTAAAAGTCAAGTGGATACAAAGAAGACTCCGAATTTGTCCAAAAAAGAAAGTAAATGCTTGGGAATGAAATACTAGATACCTCACAGAGGTTGCTAACACCAAAAGGATGTTAACAGAGAGAAACTTGACACCAAAAGGATGTCAAGCCTATCACCTAAAGGATGATAGTACACTCACACACACTGTTCTGACATCAAAAGAAAACGAGGGATTCACTGCCAAAAGGATAGCGGAAAACATGCTAGTCATGACACCAAAAGGATGCCAGACCCATCACCAAAAGGATGATGGAGCGAAACAGGATTAACCCTAACACCAAAAGGATGTAGGAGGATAAGCTTCTCTGAAGAGATTGCCACTTATCGCTGAAGAAGGATAAGCTTCTCTGAAGAGATTGCCACTTATCACTGAAGATGGATAAGCTTCTCCCAAGAGATTGCCACTTATCACTGAAGATGGATAAGCTTCTCCCAAGAGATTGCCACTTATCACTGAAGGTGGATAAGCTTCTCTGAAGAGATTGCCACTTATCACTGAAGATGGATAAGCTTCTCTGAAGAGATTGCCACTTATCGCTGAAGATGGATAAGCTTCTCTGAAGAGATTGCCACTTATCACTGAAGATGGATAAGCTTCTCTGAAGAGATTGCCACTTATCACTGAAGATGGATAAGCTTCTCTGAAGAGATTGCCACTTATCACTGAAGATGGATAAGCTTCTCTGAAGAGATTGCCACTTATCACTGAAGATGGATAAGCTTCTCTGAAGAGATTGCCACTTATCGCTGAAGATGGATAAGCTTCTCTGAAGAGATTGCCACTTATCGCTGAAGTCTTCTGGAGACAACTCACTGGGAAACGCCCATGGATTTACTGGAGATGCCCCTGTCCGGGCTGATTGTTGATTTGAAGATCTGATTAACCACGAGGTTGCAATACATCGTGCAATACACCCATGGTCTTGAAAAGATGCCCCTGGTTTGGGCTGAATTTTGCTTTAGTGATCTTGAATTTTGTGGGAGGACCCACGGTCTTGCAGATAATGCCCCTGACTAGGCTGATGATTGCATTGAATCTCTTGAATTTGCCCAACGAATTGTTGAACAAATTCGTGGGGAACGCCCACGGTCTTGCGGAAGATGCCCCTGACTGGGCTGATTAGGATCTTGAAAATCTTCGAAATTGATCCTGGATCTGATCTCGTATATGTAAATGCTTGATGATAATGATGTTCCATAACGAATGGAAATGCAAATGCAAATGCTAACACACGGTGATGCAAGAGCTGAGGAAAGTATGATGTAATCATAGGTATGTATATGATGCAAGATGCTTATGAAGCAAGATGCTTATGAAGCAAGATGCTTATAATGCAAGATGCTTATGATGTCGAATGCGATACGTATGATGCATATGATTGCGGACGGGAAATGGAAATACAGGTGCCGACATGGCGGACTTTGGTGGTGGGAAAGTGAAAGATAAGCCTGACTTCCCGACATCATCTATTTATGATGTATAAAGAACTTGGATGTGTTGAGATTTTCAGCTCATGGCCTGCTCTGCCGGGTTTGACGACCTTGTCAGTCAAGTCGTTACAAGATTTAGAATGATGTTCCTGCATACTCTTTAGAGTCATGGTCACCCTTTAGTTACCCCAAGAGGGTAAGCCACCCTTTAATCTAATTTACCATAATGTCATTATATGCAAAACCCATCATCAAATAAATGAAACTTGCAACCAAAGGGTAAAAAAAAAAAAAAAAAAAAAAAAACTTTGATGAAAGTAATTTTATTAATGAAAACCCATAAATGGGAAAATTACAGAAGGAGGCAATTCCTAAAAGAGGTAACTGCTTTCGAAAGAGAATATAAAGACTAAGACAATGTTGAAAATGGTCCCTGCCAAGTTTCAAATCTGCTATGGCCCATATGTCTCTGAAGACCCCTCATGCCTTGCTTTCGAGCGCCAGAATCGAATTGACCTTTCTCAGTCGAGAGCTTGATGGTTACGAGGAATAATTCACACGTCTTTTCAAGATGCAGTTCTGCCTTTTTGAATCCCTAACTTTTGCCTAGGCCGCCTTTTCAGGTTTTCAGCCTATCAGGATACTCTTTTTTTACTTCTAGTCCCTAATTTTGCCTGAACCATTTTTATGGTCCACCAGGACGCCCATTTTTGCGTGGATTTCCTTTTTGGGTCCACCGGGTCTATCTTTTAGGCATAATATTTTTTAACTGCATCTGCATTCACAGGGGATGAGAGATCGTCACCATCCATGGTTGACAGGATCAAGGCCCCTCCGGAGAAAACTTTCTTTACTATATACGGACCCTCATAGTTTGGTGCCCATTTTCCCCTTGGATCGACGTGAGTTGGCTGAATTTTCCTTAGTACCAAATCTCCTGCTTGGATGTGTCGTGGGCGAACCTTCTTATCAAAGGCCCTCTTCAATCGTTTTTGGTATAATTGTCCATGACAGATGTCCGTCATGCGTCTTTCGTCGATGAGATTGAGTTGGTCGAATCTGGCTTGTATCCAGTCGGCCTCATCTAGCTTGACGTCTGCTAAAATCCTTAAGGAGGGAATCTCTACTTCAATGGGCAATACTGCTTCCATGCCATATACGAGAGAAAACGGGGTTGCCCCTGTGGAAGTGCGCACTGAGGTGCGGTAGCCATGCAACGCGAACGGCAACATCTCGTGCCAGTCCTTGTAAGTCTTCACCATCTTCTGGACGATTTTCTTAATGTTCTTATTTGCCGCCTCAACAGCTCCGTTCATTTTAGGGCGATAAGGTGTTGAGTTGTGGTGTTCAATTTTGAAGTTTTCACACAACTCTTTCATCATCTTATTGTTGAGGTTTGAACCATTGTCTGTAATGATCTTGTTCGGGATTCCATATCGACAAATAATCTCTTTTTTGATGAAGCGAGTCACCACTTGCTTAGTGACGTTGGCATAGGACGCCGCTTCTACCCATTTGGTAAAGTAATCGATGGCCACTAAGATAAAACGGTGCCCATTTGAAGCGGTTGGCTCGATGCGTCCGATTACATCTATACCCCACATAGCGAAGGGCCAAGGCGAAGTCAAAACATTCAGAGGGAGTGGTGAAGTATGGACCTTGTCTGCGTAAATTTGGCACTTGTGGCATGACTGGACATGGAGACAACAATCCGTTTCCATCGTCATCCAATAGTATCCTGCCCTCAAAATCTT